TCACAGAGATGAAGTGACTTCCTGGGTCATAAAACTAATAAGAAGCAAAGCCAGGATAGAGCCCAGGGCCGCCTGACTCTAGGATGTGTGTTTCTGACTAGCCTGCCACACTGTTGATTCCTCCAACTCCTGTCCTATCCAAAAAAAAAAAAAAAAAAAAATCCAGTTTTTCAGAACTTACTTATTCTGATGATTTTCAGAAGTTTATCTCACTTTCTGGAATGTTCCCTTATGGTATCCTTCCTTGGACATCTCAAACATCTTAAGCAAATGTTTGTGAAAATACATTATTCAACACCAGTTCCTTTTTTATTTCATTTTTTTTCCTTTCAAGATTTTATTTAAATTCAAGTTAGTTAACATATAATATAAATTCCTTTTTTAAATGTGGCTGTACCCATTATACAGAAACCACATTTAAGGACTTGCATAAATTCTCCTGGGAAGGGGATGGGTTGCCTTTTTGATGGAAGTCATTAAGGAAAGCTATTTCAGTTTACTTTTCAGGAACATTTTTCTTCCTAAAGAGGGAGTTGCTACCAAATACTAAGAAGGAGGGTGAGTTTGGAGGTTGGTGCCAGAGGGCTCAAGGTGGCATAGCAAGACATGTTCTGTGTTTCCAGGCTCACCTCACCCCACGTCCAATCACTGGAAATCTCAGCATCCTTTCCATGGAAGGCTGACGAGCAACATGATCTGCAAACACTGTGAACACCAGGTAAATACAATACCAGCGCTTGATATTTTCTGGCGAGGTTTTCTTTCAAGTCGAGACTTGGGAAGTATCTAGTGAGTGTGGACTGACGTTGGTCGGGGGCGTTTGTGGTCGCCTGGGCTTTGCGCACCTCGTGGACAGAGTGCCTCCCTTTAGTCAGTGACCCTCGGGTGGCCTCTTCTGCACCGAGAGCAGCAGACCCACTGTGGATTGGCAGGAACTGAGTCTCAAGGTTGGGTCTATACTGACAGTAGACACAACAGATTCTGTTGTTTGGTTGGGTTTTTGGGGGCTTGGGGGGGTTTGCTTTCAACGTTTTAAAGTAATTTTTATTTGGAAAATTTCCAACGTAAATACAAAAATAGAAAATTGTGTAACTGTTGCCTCGATCAATTTTAGGATATTGCCATCCTCCCCACCCCCACCAAAAAAAAACCACCTGTGCCCGTTAGCAGCTACTCTCCATTTCCCCCACTCTTCTAGCCTTAGGCGACCACTAACCTACTTTGTGTCTCTATAGTTTTGCCTATTCTGGATATTTTATATGCACGGAATCATACGATACATGGTCCTTTGTGACTAGCTTCTTTCACTCAGCAGCATGGTTTTCTTTTATTCCGTTAATGTGGTGAGTTGCAGTGATTGATTTTTCTAATGTTAAACTAGGCTTGTGTTTCTGGAATAAACTCCACTTTATTGTGATGTACTTTCTTACATGTATTACTGGATTTGGTTTGCTGATATTATCTAAAGGAGGTTAGTGTCTGTTTGTGCAGAATATTGGTCTTAACAGTTTTCTTGTAATGTCTTGTCAGGTTTTGTTATGAGGATTATACCACCCTCATAACATGAGCTGGGAAGCGTTTCTTCCCCCATTTCCTGAAGGACTTGGGTTTAGATCAGTATTGTTTCTTCCTTAAATATTTCCTAGAATTATCCATTTCTTTTTCTTTCTTTAGTTTTATTTTTACGGAGTTTTTTATGAGACTTTGCTGTTAGGTACACTGTCTTGATAAAATGTCCCTTTTTATCTCTGGTAAGACTCCTTGCCCTGGAGTCTATCTGAGTGGTGTTTCTTTCTTTCCCTTTTTTTTTTTTTTAAATTTTATTTATTTATTTGAAAGAGAGAGAGCAGGGGGAGGGGCAGATGGAGAGGGAGAATCTCTCAAGTAGACTCCCCGATGATCATGGAGCCTGATGCTAGGCTCCATCTCAACCCTGAGGTCATGACCTGAGTCGAAATCAAGAGTCAGATGCTTAGGGGCACCTGGGTGGCTCAGTCGGTTAAGCGTCTGCCTCCTGGCTCAGGTCATGATCTCAGAGTCCTGGGATCGAGCCCCGCATCGGGCTCCCTGCTCCGTGGGGAGTCTGCTTCTCCCTCTCCCTCTGCCTGCCACTCTGCTTACTTGTGCTCTCTATCTCTCTGTCCAATAAATAAATAAAATCTTTAAAAAAAAAAAAAAGAGTCAGATGCTTAACCGAGTAAGCCACCCAGGCACCCCTAACTAGTGTTTCTATAGGATATCTCTTTCTGTTCTTTTATTTTTGACCTAACTTTGTCTTTGTATTTAGAGTGTGGTTTTTGTAGATAGCATATATTTGGGTTCAGTTTGACAATTTGCCTTTTAATTGGCGTGTTTAGTCCATTTACATTTAACATTTTTATGTGGTCGGATTTAGGTCTGCTAGTTCACTGTTTGTTTTCTATTTGTTTCATAATTTTTTGGTAACATTTCTTATATCCCTTGGCAACAAATTCACTTAGTTTTCATTTCTATGAAAATTCTTCTGTTTTGCCTATTTTTCCCCCCCAGGAATAGTTTTGTTTGGTACAGATTTGGGGGTTGACAGTGTTGCTGTTGTTCGGGTTCAGTTTGATTTGGTTTATTTTGTTTTTTTGACTGAAGTCATTTGGTGCCTCTGTTTCCAGTCATGGAGTCTCGTTAGGAAGCAGATGACTACGGAAGGTCGTCTCAGTTTGTGGAGGGGAAGACGAGCCAGACAGAGTCTGTGGTAGCGATTGCCTTGCATCATCTTACAGCACACGGAAACCTTATGCCCAGATTCCCCCCACTGCTGACTTGCTGTTTCACAATGGAGGGAGATGGAGGGGAAGATCTAGGTGGAGGATGGTGCAGGAAATCAGACCTTCCCGAAGTCTCCACTCTCCACACCTTGCCCACTAGCTCTGAAAACCACATTGCTTCTTGAGCGGCCTGGCAGGGGCCGAAGGAGCCTCTCAGATGCACCACGGGCTCTCAGGCTGTGACCGGTGAATTTCCAGCAACCCTACCCTCTCCTCGCTCCCCGCTGTTCTCCCCACCCCCCACGCACCCGCTGCTGGTTGTGCACCTCTTTCTGATCCCCGCCACAGCCACCTGTTACGAGTGAAGCAGTCTACAGATTGCACTTGAGCATCAGGCAAAGAATAGCTGAAACGTGACATGTGGCATCAAAGCAGGAAGATAGGCCTAGAAGCCTGTGCGGGAGGGTGACATCTCCCCTGCAGGGGCGGAGCCGAACCCTCGAGGGCCTTGTCTGCCCTTGAGCTTCCACCCCTGTTCCCACCAGTCAGAGCGCCCCCCTGAGGAAATGCGACTTGCCCGATGCCACAGAGCAGCAGAACCGGGGCCCTACCTCTCAGGGTCATTCTCTCTCCCAGCAGCACCCCATCCCCTACCGTGGAGGGGGCACCCGCACGCCTGCCTTGGTTACTTTCAGTTCGTCACTGTAAAGGTGTTCTCTTGGCTTCTGGCCTCCACCTTTTCTGATGCACAGCCAGCATCATTCACGGCGTCCTCCTGTACGGAGTGTCACTTTTCTTCCTCTGCCAGCTTACAAGATGTTCTCGCTACTTTTGAGTTTCAGCCGTCTGTCCACCCTGTGCCTCGGTGTCCTTTTCTTTGTATTTGCTTGGAATTTGCTGAACTTCATAAATCTGTACATTTATGTTTTTTACCAGATTTGCACATTTTTTTGGCCATTATTTTCCAAAAAATTTTATGCCCCATTCTCTACGTGTTGGTCTGCTTGATATTGTTCCACAGCTCACTGAGGCTTAGTTCATTTTTCTTCAACCTCTTTCCTCCATGTTCTTCAAATTGGATAATATCTGTGGACTTATCTTCAAGTTCATGGACTCTCTTCTCCATCTTCACTTTGCTTGTCCAGTGAACTTTTCTTTCTTTTTAAAGATTTTATTTATTTGACAGACAGCAATTGTGGCACAAGCAGGGAGAGCAGCAGGCAGAGGGAGAAGGAGAAGCAGGCTCCCTGCCGAGCGGGGAGCCCGATGCGGGACTTGATCCCAGGACCTTGGGATCATGACCTGAGCCGAAGGCAGAGGCTTAACCAACTGAGCCACCCAGGTGCCCCCCAGCAAACTTTTCATTTTAGTTATTGTTCTTAGTTGTATAATATCCATTTGGTTCTTTATAGTTTCCATTTATCTGCTGAGACTCTCCATTTGTCCCCCACCAGGACTAAATAACTGTCTTCCTTTGTATCCTTGAGCTTATTTGCCATAATCCTTTTTAAGGTCCTTGTGCTAATTTCAGTATCCAGGTCATCCATAGGATCCTTCACCATGGGTCATATTTTCCTCTTTGTGCTGTATGTCTAGTAATTTTTTATTGCATATTTAACATTGTAGTAGAGACTTTGGATTCTGTTATGTTTCTCTGAAAAATAATGAATTCTGTTCTGATGTGCAGTTAACTTGGCTGAGCTCAAAGCCAAACTGTCTTTCCCACGTCAGGCAGCAAAATCTGCAGTTTTCTCAGCTTCTAGCTTCTGCTTTTTTGCCAGGCTCCTGGAGTTTCCCTGTGTGGGTGTGTTTGTGTGGGTGTGCACACGCGCATGTGTATGCCTTGGAATTGGGCAGGGCTTATACATTGATTTGGGGGCTCATCCTCTTGGTGGCTCCCCTCTTTCTGGGATTTTCCCGAGCCTCTGTACCAGCCCCGAACCCTGTCTTCTGATACCTCCATCCTGTGAGACTGCAGCTTTTTGCCACCTGACACTGAACTGCAGAGACCCGGGAGTTCCCTCAAGCGAAAAGTCACACAATGCAAATCTCACAGCGGAGTTCCTGTTTCCCAAGAGTTGACAGTAGCTCTCCAGTCATCCAAACGGTTGTGTTTTGCTTTGGTCCAGAATTTATATGCCTTATCTCAAGGAGAGCTAGTCTAACCAAGCTACTGTGCCATCACCAAAAGCAGCAACTCTTACCCTATTTTATCATCTGGGTTTTTTTTGCAGTTAATAGCAGAACAGGTACATCTTTCCATACACTCACACATTCCTCTACTGTGCTATTTTGAACAGAGCATACTGTTCTGTGGACATGACATAATTTATTTAATCATTCCCTAGAAATTTCAACTATTCATATTTTGCTGTTATAAATAATGCCAGGATGAACATCCTTATAGTTTTGTCCATGGTTATTTCCTGAAGATAAAATTCCTACATTGCTGGGTCAGGTATGTTCTCTTAAAGTTATCTCATAAGCTGTCCTTCAGTATCACTGTACCTCTTACGTTGACAAGGTTGTTTGTAATAGAATTTGCTTCTAGGTAAGTACGCCATCTTTCATTATGTCAGTGTTGGGCATCTATATATTACACTGTTTCATAGGCATGTGTCCCCCCATCTCTAAAGCTCTGACTTGAACCCATGTCCTTTCTGGATTTTCTGCAATGTTTATTTCAGAGTCCTGTTCGATTTGATACTTTCGACAGCCTTTCACTGAGTATTCCAGCTGCCACGTGGGTATGTACCGAGCGATGGTTTATTTGGGGTCCGTTGTGGAGACATTCAAATCCGAACGGGCTTTGAGACATGTTGTGTAGCCAAGGTACTATGCGTTACTCAGACACATGGTTGGCTGAACCCGTCTTGGTTGTCACGTGTGGTACCATGGCCTGATCTGGGGGGAGAAGAAAGTGGATGGTTTTTCTCTGGCTGCAGGAATTTCGGCGTTTTTCAACACACACACACACGTATTAATCTCAAATTCAAAGATCTCTAAAACAGTGTGGGAGTCCATAAGTTTCTGCAGTGTTACGTACGTCCTCCTAGCCTTGAATCCACCCATAATAGCAAGCCTAGGATGCGTTGAGCTCCACGTTTGCTCAGGGACCGTCCAGTTGCATCTGTGAAGCTTTATTGCCCATATAAGCAAAAATAAAGCTCTGGGATCACATTGCCTTCTGTTAATAGTTTCATTGTAACTGAACTGTAATCATACATCTTGTTTTCTGGTGCTAAAGGGGCATCCACTGACCCTGGACCACTGCCTTCACCACTTCATCTCATCCGAATCTGTGCGGGATGTCGTATGTGACAACTGTACGCAGGTAAGCCTCTAACGCCTGGTGTCACCCCCTAGCTGGCCTGTGTGTCCTGATGCAGCACCTCTCCCACCACCGCTCACCACTGGCCTGAGCTCCTCTGACTATACCCAGGGGCCTTTTCGGCCATAGCCACGTAACTTGGCTAGGAAACTGGTAGCTCTTCCCCAGATGAGTTCACTTCATCTGCAGAATAGTTAAAGGAAAACCCTGAGGGCTGTGCTTTGAGATAGGACCTCCCCCACCCCCCCCACCCCCCGCCTCCCGACCGACAGTCACCTGCCTGACTCCCCTGAGCGTTCGTGTGTCATCCTCTGAAGAGGAGCCGTGGGCAGAATTTCTGAGGACACGGAACAAAATAGATGACGCGCCACAGCAGAGTTCCTGCATCGCACTGTCGTTTCTCTTGTCCCCACTGTCACTGTTACTTAACGACTAAACCAGTGCGAACAACTCACGATTAACTGGGCAGCTGAGCTCCTTTCTCAGGTCAAAGTCAGGTGCCAGCTGAATACAGGTGTAGCACCAACCTGGCTGTGGCCCTCCCCAGATGTATCGTTTCAAGAAATTCTGCAGCGCGATCTTTCTCTTATTTCAGATCGAAGCCAGAGGGACGTTGAATGGGGAGAAGGTGGAACACCAGAGGACCACCTTTGTTAAACAGCTGAAACTAGGCAAGGTGAGCCCACTCCACACGCCTTGTCGGCTTTGCCCTCGGGGACCCCTGTGTCCCACCCCCGACACTCAGCCGCGTCCGGTTTCTCTCCCGTCCCTGCAGCTCCCTCAGTGTCTGTGCATCCACCTGCAGCGGCTGAGCTGGTCCAGCCACGGCACACCCCTGAAGCGGCATGAGCACGTGCAGTTCAACGAGTTCCTGATGATGGACATCTATAAGTATCACCTCCTCGGGCACAGACCTGGTCAGCACAGCCCCAAGCCCAGCGAGACCGCGGGGCCCACCCTGGACCTGCAGGACGGGCCGGCCGCCCCCAGATCAGGTGTGTGCCCAAGGGGCTAACGCACGGAACTTACAGCACAGGGAAAAGGAATTTGGTGTCACCACCTTCTGGGGCCCTTAGGCCACGAGGGGAGCTAGTCCAGCGGTTGCTCAAGTTCTTGAGAATAGCAGGATTGGGGGTACGGGAGGGAAGATTCCTTAAAAGAGGTTAAACTTATATAGTAAGAAGGTGTATGGTTTTAAAAACAGCATCACAGTTGAAGAAATATGGGAAGAAAAACTTAAGATTGCTGACAGGATGGTAATTGGCCCCTAGCATTCCAATGAATTTCTTCCCCCACCCCGCCCGGTAGGGTCCTGTCGCTTATACAGATGCGGGGAGGAGAAGTTCTGGCTAAGGACCACGTCTTCGTTACTGAGCTCCTTCCTGATCTATCTCCACTGCTCTCCTCACTTGAGACTAATTACCGAGTCGGGGCCCCCGGGAGCAGGTAGCTCTTACTGCCCCCAGTCTTGGCTGAGGGGAAAATCAAGGCCCTGGGAGGTGAAATGACTAGTCACAGAGCAAACATCAGTCCACTGGGAGGACGGGCACCAGAAGGCAGCGTTGGGCAGTTTTTAAAAGCTATCTTTTCTAACTCTTTGAGTTCTTTAGAATTACATAGACCAGGAAAACCCACCGACTCTGAGGGCTCCGAGCCCAGACTCCCCGCCCGCACCTGCTCCCAGTCAAGCCAGAGGCCTGGCTTCCCCGCACCCCGGATGCTCCTGCTTAGCGTCCCTTGCTGCTTTTATTCTTTCCCGCCTCCACGGTTGTGTGGCCTGGCAGGACACCATTCACAGGGAGACTGTATTTTGCCTTTGTTCAGCGGATCAGTAGACGAATGTCAGAGCAGCCGTGGTGGGAAGAGGGCCCAGGCTTTGGACCGCCTCACCCTGGATCCCTGCTCCCCCGGCCGGGGCTGCGGGTCTGCTCATTGTCGCAGGGTGCTCGCTGTGGCTACTATACGGCCCACAGGGACCTGCTGGGTACTTAAAGGGCCCCGCACAGGGCACTTGAAAGGGCAAGACAGGTCAAGATCTCCTTCGTTATTTTATCTACACCCATCAACATTTGGCAACACGGTTACATGTTGGTATTCTTTAGAAGCTGGCAGTTAAAGAATAGAGAATGTTGAGGTCCGTGGTTCTCATCAGGGACTTTTGTCCCCCAGGAGACATAGGGCAGTGGCTGGTGGCATTTTTGGCTGTCTCAACCAGGAGACGGGTGTTAGAGGCCAGGGATGCTGTGAAACCCCCAAGATGCCCAGGACAGCCCCACAACCAAGAATTAACCCAGCCCATGTGTCAGTAGCGTCAGGGTTGAGAAACCTTGGTTTAGGTTGCGATGCCAGGAAATTAGCTACAGCTTAACTCCGGCGCATCTTTAGCAAACAGGGACGGGGGCTTCAAGATCCACAAAGCTGTCCAAGTGAGCAGCAGACCAGGAGTTAGACCCACTTTTCCTACTCGAGATTAAGAAAGTCAAGGACAAAAAGGAGGAGTGCCTGGGTGGCTCAGTCGTTAAGCGTCTGCCTTCGGCTCAGGTCATGATCCCAGGGTCCTGGGATCGAGCCCCGCATCGGGCTCCCTGCTCAGCGGGGAGCCTGCTTCTGCCTCTCCCCCTGTTCCCTCTCTCTCTCTCAAATAAATAAATAAAGTCTGGGAAAAAAGGACAAAAAGGTAGGAGTCAACCTAACACAAAATGAACTTTTCTCTTTGCAGCATTGTTGGGGAGTTAAACTCAAGGTAATGGAGGCCGCGGTGTGTTCTCCCACAACCACTGCTGCGGTAATTGCCTTGGGCCTTTTTCTCTTTCAGTTCTGGGTCAGCCCGGGGGCCCGAAAACACACATTTTTATGAATGGCGCCTGCTCCCCATCTTTATTGCCCCCCCTGCCAGGCCCGATGCCCTTCCCGCTCCCGGTGGTTCCTGACTACAGGTGAGCCACCCCGGAGAAGCACAGTCTTCATTTCTCGTAGCTGCTGATTCTCTTGGTTTCCAGAATTAGCTGTGCACAGAAACGGATGACAATGCAGACATTTTTCTTTCATCTTCAGGTGTGATTTCACCATTACACATTCCTGTTTATTTTTGTCCCAACTGGAAAGCACTTCAAAAATAAGAATTCTAGAAGAACATAAAATTTAAATATATGTGTTCTGTGTATACATGTGGGAATGCATCAGTCTGCGTTTTAAGGGTCGTGTAGTGTTCACTTGTATGGAGGTACCCTGTGTCAGTCCCCCATCACTGAACAGCTAGGATTCTTTCACCTTTCGGTTTTGCCCATGGCCCTTCTTTTTTGTTATCTGTAAACGGCTTGCATGTGTTCCTCCCATTCAGCTCCTCCACGTACCTCTTCCGGCTAATGGCAGTTGTGGTCCACCATGGAGACATGCACTCGGGACACTTTGTGACTTACCGACGGTCCCCGCCGTCAGCCAAGAACCCTCTTTCAACCAGCAACCAGTGGCTGTGGATCTCCGACGACACGGTCCGCAAGGCCAGCCTGCAGGAGGTCCTGTCCTCCAGCGCCTACCTGCTGTTTTACGAGCGTGTTCTTTCCAAGATGCAGCCCCAGGGCCGGGAGTACAGGTCCGAAGAATGACGGTCCTGCCCCAGAGCCGATGGCACTGTCCCCGCGGGCCAGGAACCAGGCAAGATCTGGCTGTGTGTGCGTGCGCAGGTGGCCCCGCTAGAGTCCTCAGCCTTCTGGTGTGTTCTCAGAGCAGGCTCCGTGCAGGAGCCGCTGGCCCCCAGTTCAAACCAAATCTGGCCCCCTGAACAGCTCTGGGAGCGTGCGCTGGGTGGTGTCCTCACTGAGCTCCGACAGGAGTCAGTCTGTCTAGAACGTCTTTTTACTCAGCTGATACAGGTAATTAAAAGAAACCCGGTTCCGGAAGCCACCTTTTTTATATTCGGCTATGTTAGGTGTTCTCAGAGGGGAGGTAACTTTGTCTAATCCTCCAATCGGTTTCAGCATAGATCTTTTATTTTTAATAAGCAGGCCCAAAAAATTGGTGAAATTATTAAAGGCAACAATTTAGAAGAAAAAGTGCCTTTCACTTTCGATTGCTTTTGTAGCACGTCCATTCTGGAAAACACACATTGTCTAAGAGTCCTCTGAACAACTTTTGAGAAAAGCTCTGCTCCTTCCAAGTTTCTCTGCGGAGAGCAACAGGACGCCTAAAAGACGCCTGAAGAACACCCGCCTTCTCTTTTTGTGGGTCTTTTCCAGTCTTTGGATTCTTTCTGTCATCAAAGTGCACCTGCCAAATCTGTCCCTCCCCCGGGGGGGTTAATTCTTCTGCTGCTCTGTCAGCTGTGAGCTGCTTCCCGCTTGCTCTTAACTGTCGGCACACTGGACGGGAGACGTGACGATGGCCTGTCATCAAACTGTGTGAACAGTGGGCACGGGGCAGCGTCTGTGCCGACCCCTGCACCTCCTCTGCTCTGGACAAAGCCCGTTTTTACACCACCACCACCACCACCACCACCACCACCACCCGCCCCCCATGGACGGTTATTTCTAACTCTGTTGCCCCTGCAGCGCTCCCGAGGTTTACAGGTGTAGCTGGGGGCTGTATGAGATTCGGGAGCTGGGGGCTGGCAGGGCACTGACTGCAGGGCCACAGTCAGGCTTCCTCGTTTGGCAAGGGAAGGCTTAGGCTCAGCGAGCATCCAAACCCCAGCCCTTTCCACAAAAGAGAAGAAAGTTTTCAATTTGTAAAAAACGTATTCTTACAGCTGATCATCTAGTCCTGTCATTTTGTTATAGGTCCGTACTCTACATCAGCTGTACAAAGACTGTACTGGGCATTCTCTTCCCTCTTGGGAGAAGGCTCATGGATGCAGCCCAGCACCACAGGAAGTTTGAGGACACAGTGGAATCTATGTTCTAGCTAGGTTTTTTATAAAAAAAAAAAAAAAAAAAAAAAATTCAAACGGACTCTTTAGAGTTAAGATTTGGAATTCGAACTTTCTAAAAGGTCACCCGAGGTGAGGCTGAGAGGCTGAGAACCAGGCTTCCCCTGGTGGGGGTGGGCTGGCAGACACTGCTAGACCAGGCCTGGGTGTCTGCAAAGAGCGCAAGGGGCCCGGGTGATCGCCGTCCTGCCGGGCCCAGCACGCACCCCGAGGATTCACAGCTCTCGACCGACTGAACACACTGGAAGGTTCTCCAGGCCCCGGACGTCCGGGAGAGAAGAGCAGCGTGAAGCGTCCTTCCCAGTTCCGTCGCAGGCCCTGGCTTTGATGTTGCCTCGAGTACAGCTGTTTTGCCTGAGTCCGGGGGACAAACACCCGGTGACGTGACCCTTACACCGCACTGCAAAACTGTAGCTTTCAGTAACTGCTCTTCTGCCGCCGTTCCCCCTTTGAAATCTGCTGTTAAAGAGATGCCGGGCCCGGAACGTTCAGCTGTTAAGTGGATGGCGGGTCAGAGGCTGGGGTGGACATGCACGGTCTCTGACCCAGACTCAAAAGCTGACTTCTTCATTTTGTAAATTATTAGGCATTAAGTAGCAGCCACCTCATCTTTCTAGCTTTAAGTTATTTACAGAGCAGCTTCTCTGGGCAAAAACCTAAGTTAAACTAGTAGTTTATGCCATAATAACTTCTGATTTATGTATTTGCTAAAGGTACCTTTTGTATCTGCTGTGTATTATAGTAATAAAAGAATCTTTTTGTTAGGAAAAAAAAAAACCCAACTGGTATTTTTTCATAATTGACCAACTTGATACAACCATCCTCTTTCTGAATTCTGCATTGTTAGGTAATAAGCCCCATGCTTGGATGCAGCCTTTCCTATGTTCCCTGTTGGGAAGAGAGAAGCCAGCTCTGTCTTGGAGTAGAGAGGGGAGGAGGAAAGAGAAGTACAAACCACCGACAAAGTTTTTACTTTTTAGCGGGCAGAATTTTGCGAAATGTCAGATTGACCCGTGGAGCTAGAATCTTCTTTCGTACGGGGAGACTGTGGTACCAGTGAGTGTTGGTCGGGTGGTTCATCATAAGCAAACTTCCGTGGGCCAGCTGAAGCCTGACCACCTCCACCTTCCGGGTGGGCTTTTTCCCCCGAGAGTCCTTATGCCGGAAGAAGAAGTCTCTGCAGGCCCCAAAGGAGACAGAAGCTATGGGGCTCCCGGGAGCCAGTTCTCGTTCATCATCTCGGTGCTCACCGATGTGGTCACAGCCGTCTTTATACCTGCAGTGAGAACACAAGCCCCGTTTACAAAACAGCCCTCTCCTGGGACCCGCCAACAGGGCAGAATCCTCATTTTCCCCCAGCGTGACAGGTGCCACGAGCAGCCCCTGCTGTGGGTCTGTGGGGGCTGGAGGGCCTCATCTGGGTCTACAGATGAGCCAAGCCTGAAGCGCTTGCACTCGATCTTGTCCTGTTTGATCATGTGCTTTAAAATGTAACTCACCAAAAGCAGCCAAAAACTCATCTTGGGGTTTTCCCAGTCCATGTATGTAAACCTTCAACTGGTTTCTCCCCCACTTAAGAATAAAAAACCCTGACTCCTTGCCAGTTTGGCCCCTGCCCGTCTCTGAGCTCATAATAGCCCTCTCTCCCTCCCCTCATTTGCTGCTCCAGCAGTTATCAGTGGGATTTCCGCTCCTTACACACTCCAAGCCCCCTCTGCTCTTCCTCAGGACGTCTGTGTGGCTTGCTCCCTCATTCCATGTAGTCTCAGCACCTCAGGGAGCCCTCCGCTAACCACCTTCCCCTAAACTCAGGGTTGGTAAGCAGGGTGGTTCTGTCCCCCAAGGGACGCTCGGCAGTGTCTGGAGACATGCTGGTGGCTGTGACTGGGGAGGGGATGCTCCTGGCATCCAAGGGGTGGAAGCCAGGGAGGCCGCTCACACCCTGCAAAGCACAGGGCAGCCCTGACAACAGAAGTATCCGGCCCAAAATGTCAGAGTGTTGCTGGTGCGAAACCCTGCCCTCAACCCAGACCCCTTTCTCCTAGCCATTCTCAGCAATATCAGCCTGTTTAATTTTCTTTAAGACACTTATCAGCATCTGAAATGATCTTGTTCAACGGTTTGTTCATGAGAGAATCACCTCTCACTTCCTCTGCAGCGTGGCCTCCACGAGGACCAACTGCTGATGCTCCCCAGGCCACATCCCTGCTGCACTAAGGGATTTGTTGCACAAATGAATAAAATATGGTGGATCTTATCTTTAGAGAACAAACTGAGGGCTGCTGGAGGGGGGAGGATGGGGCAACCGGGTGATGGGCATTAAGCGGGGCACGTGATGTGATGAGCACTGGGTGTTATATGCAACTGATGAATCACTGAACCCTACATCTGCAACTAAGGATGTACTTACTCTGTTAGCTCATTGGATTTAAATTTAAAAAAAAAAATGATGGAATCCTAAATTCCCGCCTTCGGAAGAAGCAGATTTATACAATTCAGTCCAGTAGCCTGAAAAGGAAAAAACCAGGTAGAGTGTCACCTGTTGACAAGCACAAAGTTGAAGGTCTCTCCTGTCACCATAGAAACACGATCCCGGACGTGCTCTAGAACTGGGATCCAGGGCTTTGGAGACAGAGTGAGGCCCGAGAACGTGTAGGTCAGCCCCACGTTGCCATAGGTCGCTTGCTTCCTGGGCACACTGTGCCACTTCCCGAACACCTGGACCCTGGCCAGCGCACCTGCACAGATAAAACACGGCAGCTCAGAAGAGCAGGCAGGCGAGTAGCCCGCACGCTTGCTCCCTGAGGATTCAGGATCGAGAGGGAACTGAAACAGGAGTAACATTTCACTTCCTGACCAGGGACAGAAATCACTGCGGCTTGCCCAAAATGTTCACGTAAGAACAGTGGTTCTTGTCCTACACTTAGAGAAAGACGCTCTCGTCCAATTTTTTTTTTAACACTATGCTTTAATTGCCTAAACTCCAGTAGAAGCATAATAAGAGGCTGAAATGCAAGCAAGCCGAAGTCAGGCTACACGCTAGGGTGATTTTGCCAACCGTGGGGACTAAGGGTGTGGGGCCCCCAAGAGAGATGAAGCCAATGCATTTAAGGC